GTGCGTGTGTTTGTCTCTGTGTGCGTGTGTGTGTCTCTGTGTACGTGTGTGTTCAGGCACAGTTGTTTCTGCACAGGACGCTACTGATGAAGAGGAGGCTGTGGATGAAGATGCAGCCGATGATGTGATGGCTGAGGATGAGGATGATGAAGCTGAGGTGGAGGACGATGATAACACTGAACTAGTAAGAGAACTAACTAGCATTAACCTCTCGTCATCTGACGCTCTGAGCGGTTGAAGACGCTCATGTTGTCATTTCTTCTGTCAGACGGAAGAAAAGGAGGAAGAGGAGGAAGAAGCTCTGGTGGGGGAGATGAAGGCTTCACCCAACGCTGACACCACCATCCTCTTCGTCAAAGGAGAAGGTGAACGAGTCGATCTCACACCAATACCAGCGGCTCATACTCGCCGGGAGACATGATTGTGTGATTTATTGCATCGTCAGATTATTTTCATGAATTGATACACATTTTGTTCATTAAATTCTCGTTATTCTATTAGTTGTTTTGTACTGTAATACAGTAGGTGATTATGAAGTTTATTTAATCCTGTAAAGATACTGCATCATATTTGATCATGAATTTCTAAGCCTCTAAATGATCAAACTTTGCTGTTAAACCTGTTTTTCACTCTGTTAGTGTAGTTGTACAAGCGTTTAGCTTCAGCTGGAGCTTCTCGTGTCAGATCTTGACTGGTTTTTATCAAGTAAAGGTCAGAATAACTGCAGTAATATCTCCAGATGAACACTTACTGCACTGAAGCAGCTCAGCTTTACTTGATTCTCCATCAATCATGTTTTAGAGTCTCAAATCTGATCCTCAGGATCTTTTGAGGAGCGTTTGTTTCCAGAAGCTTTACTTTCACTGTTCCTCAGCGGAGGAATGATCTTCACAAGCCTCCAGAACATCTCACATCTTCTGAGGAGCCTTTATTTCTTCAGCTCTCAATCACTGCATTATATGTTTGGAGCATATATCAAATATCAGCATGTTATTTCATGTGTCAGGTTTACAGAGTCAGTCACTCACAGTGTTTAGTTTCTGATATTGAGATGAACTCTGATTCACAGACTGATGGGTGTTTCGCTTCTGTCGGCTCATTCATTCGTTCTCTTCCTGAATGACAGATTTTCCCGCCAACGACATCGTGAAGTTCCTGCTGGGATTCACCAATAAAGGCTCGGAGAACTTCGTGGTGGAGTCTCTGGACGCCTCGTTCCGGTACCCGCAGGACTTCCAGTTCTACATCCAGAACTTCACAGCGCTGCAGCTGGGGACCGAGGTTCCTCCTCAGCGTCAGGCCACCTTCGAGTACTCCTTCATCCCCGCGGAGCCCATGGGAGGCCGGCCCTTCGGCCTCGTCATCAACCTCAACTACAGGGACAGCAGCGTGAGTCTGTGTGAGAGAGAGTCTGTGTGTGTGTGAGTGAGAGAGAGAGTGCGTGCGTGTCTGTGTCTGTATATATATGTGTGTGTGTGTGTGTGTGTGTGTGTGTGTGTGCAGGATCTTCTTGTACGTGTTTCTGTCGGGGCTTGGCCTGCTGCTGGTGGTCGGCCTTCATCAGCTGCTCGAGTCACGCAAGGTGAGACGCTCATCATCATCAGCTGCTCTTCATCATTACTCTGCTGTCAGAATCTGTGCTTCAGTGCCTCTGGTGTGTGTGTGTGTGTGTGTGTGTGTTACAGAGGAGACGGCCAGCAGCTAAAGTGGAGATGGGAACCTCCAATCACAATGACGTGGACATGAGCTGGATCCCACAGGAGACACTCAACCAGATCAGTGAGTGTCAGCCAATCACAGCAGGCTTTACACACCAATGATCACACTGTTCAGTTAAATGAATTAAAATAACAAATGGGTCTAACAAACTGGAATAGCCTTTTCAAATCGTGGTTATAAATTCAAAGGCTTGATTAAATTAGAATTTAAGAACTAAATAGTGTCGTGCGCTACATTTAGTTTAGTGTAGTTCACTACATTTCACTAATGTTCCACCAAAATAAAAGCTTGAGAGTGAAACAGTGTTGTAACATTTAATGTAAAATATCGCATTTATTTGTTTTAAAGTACAATTACAATTTATAAAACAGTAATATAGTTCTATCTTCATATGTTATATTTCGAGGGCAAACTAATAATAATTAATAATAAAAAATTATAAATATATTTGAAATATGACAAATTTATTTATTTATTTTTTTTGGCAAAGTGGTGCAGCCCTATATAAAACGTTTAATTTATTTTAAAATAACCCTAACCCATTCCTCAGAATATCTGCTTCTGTGTTCAGCAGAAATGAGGGTGAGGAGTTTATTCTTTAAACGATCAAAATAAAACGACGAAAACGCTGAAATATCTAGCTGTGTGGCCTAAACATCAGAGAACTGTGCACATGTGCTGATTAAATGACTTGGGTTCGGCTGATTGAGTTAGTTTGAGACTGATGTGAAGATCATCTGTGTGTCTGGTGCTGTTTGTTCTCACGCTGCTCTCTTTATTTCCTCCTCTTCCTCTCGTGTGCTCAGTGGCGAGTCGGAGAGGTGAGCGCTTGTTTCAGTCTGGATTCTGATGTTTCTGTGCGCTGATCTTCATCATGCGACTCGCATCTGATCACGTGACTGACGTCTGTCTGTTTCTCTCTCTCAGATAAAGCGTCTCCAAGACAATCTCCACGCAAGAGGACTCAGAAACGCTCGGCCGGATCAGACGAGTGAGAGACGCTGCCATCATCATCATCTGTGTTTACAGTGAGACGGCAAGTCTGTCCTTCACTGGATGCCAACAGAGACTGACACACACACATTCTTTCTTCTCCACGCAAGAGGACTCAGAAACGCTCGGCCGGATCAGACGAGTGAGAGACGCTGCCATCATCATCATCATCATCATCATCTGTGTTTACAGTGAGACGGCAAGTCTGTCCTTCACTGGATGCCAACAGAGACTGACACACACACATTCTTTCTCGCACACACACTCATACACTCTCACACACACACACACTCATACACTCTCACACACACACACACTCATACACTCACACTCTCACACACACACACACTCATACACTCTCACACACACTCACAGGCCGTTTTTTAAAGTGAAAGTGCGCGAGGAGTTGGGCCGCTCAAGCTTCTGTAGGTCTGCTTTATTTTGTAATTACGAGCGTCTGGATTCTTCTCCTCGTTGATCATCTTCTCGCCTCTCTTCTGTGAGGACTGATGGGATGTTTCCGAGCTTCATCACATGTTTCTGCCGTTTTCCTTCCCGTTCAGTCGATGACTTGATAATGAGGTTTTAAAGGCCTCGTTTGCTTGCAGAAGGTGCCTGATTTAATTTCTCTGGTTTTCTTCATGATTTGCGTGTGAGCACGAGCTCGTGACTCGAGGACGCTGACGGTTTGCTCCTCCTCAGGACGGAGGAAGACTGTCGTTGTCTGTCTGTCTTGTTTTTGTTTTTTGATCAATCTAATAAAGTCACGGTATTGTTCAGAAACCAGCCTTGAGCGCGTGCTGATGTACAGATCCAGATGTACTTGGAAAAATACAAATAAACTGAAATGAACAAATGATCTGGTTCTTTGTGATTTTGTCATATTGTATCTTTATGGTTATCAGTGGGTTTTAATGTTTTAATTCACCCTTCCTTGGGTTGCTTTATCTTTCTGTTATTAATATCAGTATGTTAAAGTTAGCCTGTTAATAATATCATAAATATAAAAACCTTTAACCGATTACTATTAAAGGTTTAAGAGTTTCAATTTAAAGCAAACCAGGAGGTGACTAGACCTGTCTGGGCTTGGGTTTGCCCCCCTGTCCCGCATCTTGCTCTCCTTGTGGAGAAAAGGAGACACGGGAAGGAGTGATCCAATTAAAAGATTCAATTAGAACGACGACAAAGGCCCATATTAGGATCCTGTACGTAAGATGGTATGTCTAGAATCAGAATGAGTTTTTATTGCCAGGTATGTTTACACATACGAGGAATTTGTTTTCATGACAGAAGCTCCACAGTGTAACAGAATGACAGTGACAGAACAAAAACACAGATAATAAAAAATAGAAAAATAGAACAAGTAACTAAGGAATAAAAATATACAAATCGACAATTGTATGTACAGGTATATAACAATAGACAGTTGTATGTACAGGTATATTATGTGCAAATTGAAATGTAGACTGAGTATGAGTGTTAGATAAATAAGTGTATGAGTGAATAAATAGTGTGTGTTCCACAGTTATTGTTAAGTGTTTTTCCTAATCCCTCAGATCAGTTAGATTGAGAGAAATGTTCAAGACAACCTCTTCAGTAGTGTACCTCAGGTTCATTGGGTGTTTCGGCCTTTAACCACTATACACCCTCACGCTGAGGCCGGCTCGCTTGGGCGATCATCCCCAAGCGTGTGTCTTGTAGCCAATTGCTATTCGAGCTTGACCAGATCCACAATTACATGGTTGGGCTCTGGGTTGAGTTAATATGAGTTTTCAACTTAAACCGGTCATTAGTAGAGATGTTGATTTGATTCTATTGATTTTAATTTATTTGGAGTGCACGTTAGAGCGATTAAAACATTTTTTTGCTGTACAAGAAACCAAAATAGGTGTGAAAGATTAAAAACTCACCCTTGAAGGCTCCTAAAAGGTCAGAGGTCGAGACTGGCGGATGCAGAGCATCAAGCTTCTACCAGACCTTCCTCCTAGAAGTCACGACAAACCAATCCGACATTACACTCACAGAAGAATAACCGCTGGATGTGATGACTTCTGAAAGGGAAGAAACTTGAAATGGCCTTTACACTTTTACATGATGATGAGTCCAGAATTATTTTTGCGATTAGACTCATCTTGTGCTCCTCCAAATATGTCGGACACGACTATATTTTTCTTAGGTTTTCATCACTGATAAACAGCTGTTTTTAGCATTTAAAGTTAGCTTTTTTGACAGCTAATTAAGTATGTGAATCGCTGCTCCAAGCAGGTTTCTAGGCTTACTTTTCAGGTGTTTTAGGTATATTTTTCTTAATTTAAAATGAGTTTTCTAATCCTGTCCCAAGTCCTTGAAAAGTCTTAAATCAGAGCAGAAAGTCTTAAATTCATAAAGCGTGGCATGCACTGTGAAGAATGAGCCTCTTCCTCAGTGCTTCGGTCAATCATCCTTCAATCAAGACACATTACTGGAGGAGCTAAACCAAGAGATGAAGTTCTGTGAGAAACTGAACAAAACTGAGTTATTAAAGTGAACCAAGATGTCAGTGGCTCAGAAAGAAACTTATTTTTAGACATTTGTTTTTGACTAAACTTATTTTGATAAATTCTTTGTGTTCCATTCCTTCCATTTTCTTGAAAAGCCTCACATTTCCCTTCACGGATTGCCCGTCCCATCAGAAGCATGTTTCACGTGGAATCATTAATAACTCTTCATTAGAGAGGAAACTTCTGCATGTTTGATCTAATCTGAACACCTGAACTTTACCTCCCTGCATCTTTCCATCCACTCATTATGCAGCGATATTCCTCATATCTTTACAGTAACGACTCGTTTATCGTACGGAAAATGTCATTAACGAGCCCGTTGTGAAACACATGCAATAATGCTGTCAGTCAGCTGAAAAACTATTTGCACTTTGACAGACAAAAAAAAAGAAAAATGTTTCCACCGATTAAATAGTTATATAAATGTTATTACATTTTTATACTATTGTTATACTAAGGTCCTTTAAATATGATCAGTAATATTAAATATTCTTATGGTGTTTAATAGTCCATCAGATCTGTTCAACAAGATGTTTGGTGGGTTTATTAATATATTAATCAAGATCAGAACTGATCTGACATCTGGTGAAGATAAATACATAAATACATGATCTCCTGTTTACAATCTGAGCTGATAAACTTTGCTCTGAGTTTCCAGAGACACACTCACACACACTCATTCACTCACACACACACACTCACTCACTCACACTTACTCACTCACCCTCTGGTTCACACACACACTCACTCACTCACACATTCACTCACACACACACTCACACACACTCATTCACTCACACACACACACTCACTCACACTCATTCACTCACACACACACACTCACTCACACATTCACTCACACACACACTCACTAAACTGTGCTGGTTTGATTTGTAGAGTCTCCTGCTCTGTATGTGGGCAGCGTGTCTCTGGTGAGTCTGCTATGTGTGGATTGATTGATTATTGATTGATTTCTGATATAGTTCAGTGTGAATCTGTTGTTTGTCATCAGACGGCGGCGGATGGAATCATCACGTCTGCAGCCTCGTACTCTTATGATGCTCACGCTCAGCAGATCCGCTTCAGGAACTACATGACCGTCTTCAACGAGTCCATCTCTATGGATCTGCTGCTGCTCTTCCAACAGGTCCCGCCAGAGCTCTGAGTTTATATCACACAATCCATGCAGATCTTTTTTCTCAGAACTGCGCGGTTAAAAGTCAGAATTGCAAGATTTTTTTTTCAATGTAGAAACAAGTTTCCAGAGATGGGAAATAAGCTCTTTAAAAATAAGGCTTTCTGAAGGGTGTTTTCACAGCGATGCCACAGAAGAACCGTCTTTGCTTCCTCAAGAGAACCTTTCAGTAATCAAGAACCATTATTTTCTTAGTGTGAAGAACATTTGAGTGATTTAAAGAACCTTTTGTCCAAAGCAAAGATTCCATGGATGTTAAAGGTTCTTCCCAGCTAAAAAAAAAGAAAATGTTATTTCTGATTGTTCGAAACATCTATTAATGTTTTCCTTGGTTATGTGAATGTTACATTTGATCACGGTTTCCAAACGTTATGGAACGTTACTTTTGAATGTTCTCTGGACACACTGAAATACAGTAAGTAGTAGCATTTCAGAACTGTTTGTTAGAGCTTCTTCTCGTCTCGTCGCAGGGTGTGATGTATGAGATCGATTACTCGCAGCTGTCCTGTCAGAAGAAGGTTCTGGAGTCCTCGTTCCACCCCACGCGGGTCCCAGCCGACGCCGTCTTCATGGGTCAGGTGATTCTGGGAACCATGTCCGTTCCCGGTCTGGGTCTGCTGACCAACTCCTGGGTCGGAGAGATTCCTGAGATTCAGGGTGAGAGTAATACCGCGGTATAACGCAGCGATTGCCTGGAGAGTCAAACACAGTGATCGTATAGTACCATGGTATAAATCAGAGTACCATAGTAAACAGCTGATGTGTTCAGGTTTGTATGGAAGCTTGAGTCCACCACGGAATAAACAAATAAAAAAGATAATTGTGACTTTTTTTCATCTCACAATTCAGGCTTTGTTTCATGCAACTCTTGAGAACAAAGATGCATGATATAAATTCATAATTCTGAGAAAAAGTTCATAATTTTGAGATATAAACGTGACTTCTGACTCTTCTTGCAATTCCAAGTTTATCCACCTCATTTTTCTACGCGGAAGTAAGCCGTTTTCTGTGAGTGTGCGAGACTTCCGGTTCATTAGCCGCTGCAGGGAAATAACGAGAAGAATAACAACGTGCAGTAAACTGATAACACTACAAACCAGTGTGTTCATAATTAAGATAATACATTAAAATAATGTGGTAAGACACACCAGTTTGCAATATCAAGCAGTAAAACATGCTGTATTTTTACAGCTAACAACAGACTAAAACTTACGATGGATATCTCACAATTCTTATTCGATATTAATTAGTCACAATTACCTTCTTCATTTTTTTATTCTGTGGTGAAAACAAGCTTATATGGTTTTGTGATTTAGTAAAACTCTAAACAATGAACAAACACTCCTGATAAAAGAATCATATTAACTGCTGTTATTGATCTGAAAAATGACTCTGTAGAGCTGAAACTGAAGTAGTTTCATAACATTATCATCACTGTGAAGCTGCTTTGAATCCGCCTGCGCTGCATGAATGTTCTGAGGTCTCTGTGTGTCTGCTCTTCAGCGCAGTACATGCTGACCTTCACGGAGTTCACGTGTCTGCCGGTCAGTGCGATGGTCTTCACTCCTCAGACCGGATGGATCACCTTCAGGTCCAGCATCTCCTCACACACACACTCACACTCCCACACAGATCACACACACACACTCACACACACACACTCACACTCCCACACACACTCCCACACACACTCACACTCCCACACACACTCCCACACACACTCACACTCCCACACACACTCCCACACACACTCACACTCCCACACACACTCCCACACACACTCACACTCCCACACACACTCCCACACACACTCACACTCCCACACACACTCCCACACACACTCACACTCCCACACACACTCCCACACACACTCACACTCCCACACACACTCCCACACACACTCACACTCCCACACACACTCCCACACACACTCACACTCCCACACACACTCCCACACACACTCACACTCCCACACACACTCCCACACACACTCACACTCCCACACACACTCCCACACACACTCACACTCCCACACACACTCCCACACACACTCACACTCCCACACACACTCCCACACACACTCACACTCCCACACACACTCCCACACACACTCACACTCCCACACACACTCCCACACACACTCACACTCCCACACACACTCCCACACACACTCACACTCCCACACACACACTTACACTCCCACACACACTCACACACACACTCACACACACACTCACTCACACACACACACACACACACACACAGACACACACACACACACAGAGATCACTCTTCCTCAGCATTCACTAACGTCTCTCTGCTGTCTTTGGTCTCGCAGCTTCTACAATCATCTGCTGGGCGTCCAGAATCCTCAAGACTTCGTTCCTCCGTTCTTCTGTCCCACAGCGGCTCCGGAGGAACATCTGCCCAAAACCAGCTTCCTGAAGGCCATGCGTCCGTCTCAGTGATTCTGACTGATTCCTCAGCTGGACTTTACACTGAAATCATGAGAAGCAGATCTCTGTGGGTTTGCAGAAATCTGACTGGCTGGATCAAACCTTAAACAATAAATTAAAATGTCTTCATCAGAAAGTTTCATGTCTTTATTTAGTCTCCGTCTCGACCGTCTGTGTGAGATTAATAGAGTAAGGGGAAACAACAACGTTACAGTAGATTTCTCTTTCAAATCAATGCTGTTCTTCTGAACTTTCTATTCATCTGTGAATCCTGAAAAATTCTCCTCAGCTGTTTTCAACATTGATAATAATCAGAAATGTTTCTTGAGCAGCAGATCAGCATATTATACTGATTTCTGAAGATCATGTGACACTGAAGACTGGAGGAATGATGCTGAAAATACAGCTGTGCATCACAGAAATACATTACAGTTTAACAGAGATTCACACAGAAAACAGCTGTTTTACATTATAATAATATTTCACTATTTTCCTGTATTTCTGATTAAATAAATAAATGAATGCAGGCTTGGACTTCTTCAAAAACATTTAAAAAATCGTAATTATCCCAAGCCTTTGAGCAGTAGTGTAATAATGAATTATCAGGAGAAATGAGTCGTTTAAAATTGTGAATGTGTTTATTGTTATTAATAGACTTAAAGTCTGGACTCTAAACAACTGATAAACATTGACTTTAAACGAGTTACAGTAGAATCTCCAGAAGATCCTCCGTTACGCAAGATCTTTTTATTCCGGTGATTTATACGATTTTCTTTTTTCATGAAGTGAGGCTTTAGATTTACTTTTTAAATCTGGCTCCATTTCCATTTCGTGCAAAATTACAAACAAACGTAGAAAGTTCTAAACCTTTTTTTTCTTCAGCCTTGAGTTTTGAATGTTTTGTTTGGGATGTGTTCAGCTCAGAAACACTTAGTCTGCTCTGATGTGTGCTTGTGTCCGTCTCTGTGCAGATACGCTGTGTACGGTGGTGTACTTGGACGACTGCGTGTCCATCCGTCAGTGTAAGCAGTACTGCGAGTCGATGGGGGGATCGAAGTACCGCTGGTTCCACAACGCTTGCTGCGAGTGCATCGGCCCCGAGTGCCTCGACTACGGCAGCAAAGCCGTCCGCTGCATGAACTGCCTGTTCTAGAGCCTCACGGATCCTCTACAGATGTTTTTATTCTTTAGCCAAACACAGAGATGAGAAATATGAGCTTGATAGAGTAGATGCGAGTCTGAGCTCAAGTATGATATGCATATTGTTCATATTCAGCTTTTATTATGAGTCCAGGTCTTTATTAAGACCGACTGATTTCATACCGAGTGAAATCATTAGTTTGTCTTCAGTAAAGAATAGAAATCCTGCGTTCCCAGAGACCCGAGCAGGGTTTATGTTTGATGTGTGTTCAGTAGCTGCAGGTGAAGCATGGTTCCAGCTGAATATTCAGTAATGCACGCATGGCTTGTTCAGCACACGGGTTTCTTCATGCAGTCGCTCCACTTTCACTGAGACAAAGACAGAAACTCCTCCGAGATTCACAAACACAGCTATAGCAGTTATTCTCATGCATCATCTGTCTGCATGAAAGCGTTACTATGGAGGGTCCTGCTTTCGTTGCAAACCATTTACAGAATGTGTTCATGAGAAAACCAAAATAAAAAGTTCAATGCTGAACATGCATTAATGCATCTGCTTTCATTAAATCATTTTTCTTTATTAATCCAGATCAGAGTTTCACAACTGGGGTTTATGAGTTGAAAAGCAAATTATTAAATCTTTAAAATTATGAAATGAAAACAATATAAACACGTGAAGTCACTTATGTCTAGATTGTGTTAAACAATACAGATTGACTCAGACATTGAATGCTGGAGACTCAAATACGAGTCAGATCAGATCCAGCTCAGTAATGCTCCGAGAACCGTGAACACATCACTGAGAAACTGCTGAAATATTCAACTCTTACTGCAGTGTGTCAAATCTCCGGGAACTTTGAGAAAATACCGCAGCTGAGATTCATTTCAATTTAATTTAGTTCATGTTTGCTCATAATGCATTAGTTCAGTTGTACAACTTTAGATTTTAAACGTCTAAAGTAGAAACTAACATGATATTTTGTAACATTTTATCCAGTTGTTCTATTCATCAGTCCAGGAGTTATGAAAGGGTTAAAAACAAACAAACTTTAGAAAGGTTTGTTTTGCTCAGATTCTCATGATTGATCAACAGAATTAATATTTTTGTCAACAGGTAAAAGTACATAAACATAAAATTTTTTTAATTCTGTAGAATTACCGATCATGCATTAATACTTCACAATGTTTTATTAGTTAAGAACTAATGAACAATACTTCTACAGTACTAATATTAATGATGATCTCGACATTTACTAATACATTATTCAAATCAAAAGTGGTGTTTTCGTGCGTTAGTGCACGGTGAACTAACACGAATGCTGAGAAAGACATGGTTAGTTCATGTAAGTTAACACTTTAAAGTGAATTAATGAGACCAGTGTAACAACGGCAGTGATTTTGTGTGAAAGTTTATTGGGACAGATTAGGAGACTAACAGCAGCGCTTTCATGATCAGAAACAGTATGTACAGTCATTAAACTTTAGAAAGGTTTGTTTTGCTCAGATTCTCATGATTGATCAACAGAATTAATATTTTTGTCAACAGGTAAAAGTACATAAACATAATTTTTTTTTTAATTCTGTAGAATTACCGATCATGCATTAATACTTCACAATGTTTTATTAGTTAAGAACTAATGAACAATACTTCTACAGTACTAATATTAATGATGATCTCGACATTTACTAATACATTATTCAAATCAAAAGTGGTGTTTTCGTGCGTTAGTGCACGGTGAACTAACACGAATGCTGAGAAAGACATGGTTAGTTCATGTAAGTTAACACTTTAAAGTGAATTAATGAGACCAGTGTAACAACGGCAGTGATTTTGTGTGAAAGTTTATTGGGACAGATTAGGAGACTAACAGCAGCGCTTTCATGATCAGAAACAGTATGTACAGTCATTAAAACACTGGAGTCTGCTGAGATTGAATGTTCAGTGAAATCCGTTAAAAACACCGGTGTAAGCAGACGAAACGCCGCGTGCATCAGCACAATGTGCTTCGGGTTAGGGGTAAAAGAGCGAGGCTCGGCCCTCGAGGACTGAGTCCGCAGCCGGTCAAGTGTTCTCTGAAGGAGGAAGACACGTTTAAGGCTTCTGTGGTGAAACAAACCCCAGCCCTGTGGAGAGGTGCATTCTGGGACAGCAGGTCAGTAGGTGGAGGACGTGCTGCTCATGGCGTCCTCGTTCAGACGCGTGCTGCTGGGGTGAACGCTGGAGAAGTACTTGACGTCTTTATCCACGTCTGTCTGCAGCGCCACGAGTGTGTGCTCCAGCGCTACCTGCTGACAGTTCAGCGCGCTCAGAAAATACTCTGCAGAGAGAACACACCAGCACAGACATGAGCCAGAGCGCGCATACACACACACACCCTCATGAACACACACACACACCTCCTCACCCTCATGAACACACACACACACCCCCTCACCCTCATGAACACACACACACAC